CCAAGTACTTGTTATGTCATTCATTGGCTACATCCTCATGCAAACAATTCATGGGGTGAACTAAATGGCCTCTATCATTGATTCCAGTTCAAAAATCTTGACACATTCAAATGGGTTCTCTCTCTCCCACAATGTTTCTTCCTAATAAGCTACATGCACAGTCCCTGACCTCAAAGCTAACTGTAGAAGGGAGTGAGGAGGTGAGGATGGGACAAGCCCCGCCCCTCCCCCCCCCACACACACACACTACTAAGGCTCATGTTTATCCATTCATGCAACAAATATGAGTCAGGCACTGTCCTAGGCACAGAGGACACAGTGATGAATAAAACCGACAAAACTCCCTGCCCTCATCTAGCTTATGCCCTGGCTGGGGGACAATCCTGACTGAGGGGCGATGGAAAATAAACCAGCTAAGTCAGTCATTAGATGGTGATGAGCGCTAAGAAGAAAAATCAAGGAAGGAAAGGAGATAGGAAGAAGTGGGGCAGGAGGTTGCAGGTCTAGTTGGGAGTGGCCAGGAAGACTTGGCTGAGCTGGGAACAACTGAGAAAAGGCTGCGGGTGGAGGAAGCCCGCTATGCAGCTATCTGGGAGCAGAGTAGTCCAGGCAGAGGGAAGGGCCTGCAGGGGGAGTCTGGGCTCCTGTTGCTGAAGTGAAGTGCGTGAGGGGAAGTGATAAGAAAAATACAGTCAGGGAAGTTGGAGGGTGGGGGGAGCCTCGCAGGACACAGCCAGGACTTTGGGAAGCCACTGGAGGGTTTTAAGCAGAGTGACATGATCTGAGTTTTAACAGGACCACTCTGAGTGAGAGTTTAGAAGGACTATAGGGGCCAAGTGCAGAAGCAGGTCCCAGCTCTACAAAAGACAAGCAACCATCTCTGAAAAACTCGGCTGAGGTTGGGGGCAGGAATCCAGTAAGGAGAGGGCAGGCCACACTATGGCTCCCTCTAAGCATCCACCATAGGGGATTGTCAAGGCCTGTCTTGGAGCAAACTTTTCACCATGTGGCCTAGGAATCAAACCCTGCGTTCAATAGAAGAAGAAGAAGAAGCCTCACAAACAAATGAGCACCTACAAATAAAGTGTTCCTTTACATTTATAAAGGCCATTAATCCCCTTCCAAGTGGAGGGAAAGAAAACAAACCCTAGCAGTGGGCTTTCCAAAGCTCTCAGCCCCAGGCAACTGAAAATACCTGTGAAAAGACACCCCACCCCATTAACCCACAGCGCCCCAGTGAAAGAGCACTATTATTGAAGCGCTGTGTAATTGTTCCACATTACCGATATCGTTAAAACTTCTCAGAATATTTCCATGAACCAGCTGAAGAAAAGTAGTTACCAGGGCCGGCAGGCCCAAGGGCCTTCTGCCAACTACTTAGATATTTTAATTCTCTGTTGCCTCAGTAGCTAAATAAGCATGGAGAACAAGCAGGAGAGGAATACTAATTAGAGCTAATTAGACCCTGCCCTCTTCTGCTCAATCCCCTTTATAAAAAGCCCCCCTAATTCAAGGATGATGGAGCTAAAATGTAAATACCTAGGGTAAACAGCAGTCTACAAACCAAACCCCTGTTTGCATTTCATTGTCCTGTCATTTCTAAACCCACGCCTGGTCACCTGGAGAGAGCAGCAAACCCTGGGCCAAATTCCTACAGCCCCTGACAGACCGCAGAGAAGTGGTGGTGGGGGGAGAGCGCTGCCAACAGAAGCCCACCAAGTAGAATAAAGGGATCTCTGAGGATTTAGAACATTCTAATTTGCAGGGCATCCACTAAAAGAACATCTGATTTTTTTCTTTTTAATAAACTATGATAGTAAACATGACTCCAGTCCTACAGCAGGATCAATACTACACTCCTCCCTCCTTAGAGAGCAAGGGCCTCACCCCAGAGAAACCCTTCCCTGGTTTTGTGGGAAGACTAGGTCCCAGGGTGCTGTCCGGAGGCTCTTGGCCATGAGATAAGGAGGAGAGCGGGAGATAACCCCAGGACAAGGGGGCTGTCAGCCTGCCAGAGACTTGCTGAAATGAGCCCCCTTAAATCAGAAGTGTGTTTTCTGCTGGACTAAGCACAGAGACAACAGCAGGGTGAAAGCAACAGAAGGGCAACTTGGCCACCGGTCTCGGGACACCAGGCAGGCACGGCCCTGCAGGTGACCTCTTTCTTTCACTGAGTAATGAAGCTTTTTCTTTCAAATCATGTTCCTAGTAGCAAGACAGAAACAAGCTCTAAAAAAAGTACCTGCAGGGCTTCAAGAAAAAAGAAGAGGGAAGAAAAAGGAAAACTCTGTTTCAAACTATGTTTGAAGTTGGCTCAGCAACACCAGGAAACTGGGAGAAATGACACAGATGTGAGCCTGCACCTTCTAACCTCGAGGAGCTCCAGGGCACTAAGAGGGAGCGGACCAGGTCTGGAGGCCAGCAATGGGCTTGCTCTACCCATCCCCCCGGGGCGGGCTGAGCTCTAATAGGCAACCGCAGAAGAAAAGGGAACCCTGAAAGAGTTGGAAATAAATCACAGCTCAATGCTTGTACCTATGCTGAGTCATGCAGGACAAAGGGCACTGGACCAAAATGCTCTGAGGCTGGTGGAGAAGGAGGGTGGGCAAGTCACTTCACCATCTTGGGGCCATCCAAAAAATGGAGATCATTGTGAGGATGTAGAGGAACTTTGAAAAACAGAAATCACAATGTAAATGGAAAACAGTATATTCAAAGAATTCTTTGCAACTGGAAACATTTGCATTTTTATTAGAATCACAGAATGTCAAGCTGCAAGGGAACTTAGAAGTCATCTCCTTTAGCAGTTCCCAAACTTCTGCATTTCACAGAACATGAAGACCAAAACAAAACAAAAGAAACAAACAGAAAAGGGGGAAATTTATACAGGATCGCCAGTTTTATTTTGCGAAAAATAAAAAACTACCCTCTCTTATCACTATAAATTATTAAAAGACAATAAGTTTTCCCACCAAAAATAAAAAAGACCTAATTTCAAGTTAAAGGATAGTCCTTGTGAAGCAGGGGATGATGGGCAAAGATATACTCCTGTGTGTGACGCAGGGTACATCTTCTTTCTCTTTGTATTTCCCTGGGGACCCAAGAAAACATCAGCGATGGGCACTGGTTGCCAGATGGGTGTTTGGAAACCACTGATCTACTCCAAGTGCTGGAGTGATTATTTTCCCATAAAAGAAGCCCTGCTACAGTACTAAGTTGGAATTAGGGCCTAAAGGAAGTTTTTGTTTGTCCAGACCCCTCCTCCGCTCTGCCCTTTATAAACCTCCGCAGCCTTCATGTAAATGAGACACGACACCGTAGGGGTACAGCCCTCCCTGCCTTCCTCCGCAGCTGGGCAGTGGGTTCACAAGAGCAATCAAGTATCTCGCACTTGCAAGTGAATGGAGCACCCCAACACACTGATTTCCTACGGGAAAGGAGCAAGTTTGGAGCTTCTTGCTTTTTTTTTTTTTTTTTTTTTTGAGGAGGTGGGGGTAGCTCATCTGCCTCACAGCCCCAGCGCCAAACAGAGCATCCTTCCTCTGGGGCCTCCTAACCGCCACGTCCAGCCCTCTCCCAACTCCGAACACTTAAAGCAGGTTACTGGGGGCTCCTCGCATAGCCCCCAGCCCATGGCAGTGTGCGGCTAATGCAATCGCACACCCCCAGCCCTCCGCTCCAGAATCCTCCAGAGTTAGGGGAGTGTGCGGCAAGGAGTGTTTGCAAATCGCGGGATAAAGCCAGGTAGAAGGCATCAGATCGGGAAGTCCCAGGTGGGGCTGTGGATTGGGACGCGGGTCTCCCCTCGGGGTCGCGGTGGCTTGGAGCAGGGAGGGGAGGATTACATCTTTAAAGGAAGGCGGTTGGCCTGAGCACAGTGAAACTCTAGGATTCGCTATGGGGCCCTGAGCACCCGCAGTTCCAGGAGACGAGCCCCCGGAGTCGCCGTGGCCCCACACTTTGACTCCAGCGAAGACTCCGGGTCTCGCGCCTCCAGCTGCCCTGCGCCTCTCCCGGACCAGGGTACCGGCGGCATCCCTCGGCGCCTCCCAGCAGCCGCCCGCCGCCGGCCGCCACAAGGGCCGCTTTGTGCCAGGGGGTGCAGAGCCCGGGTCCCCACACAGGACTGGCGGGGCCCTCCCGGCGCACCGGGCACGGGCGCACGCGAGCTCGGTCAGCAGACGGGCAAACTGTTTACACAGAAGGGGAAGGCTCCTCCTCAGCCCGGGAGGGGACTGGAGGCCGACGACAGTCCGGGGGGCTGCGCGCGGGATGGGGCACGCAGCTCGGAAGCCCCCCACCGGGCCGTACCCCGGCGGCTCGCCCACCTGGCAGTGCCTAGAAGGCCCCTTCCACCCTCAGATCACACTTTCCGCCCCGGCCCCTCCAAGACGCCTGCGGGCGGCTCTGTGCCCGACAAAGTTTCTTCCTGCAAAGCGCGGCACCCGGCGCGGCTTACCTGGGAGGCTGGGCACGAGCGCGCAGAGCGCGAGGAGGCAGGCGTAGAGGGGCGCCGGGGCCCGCGGCATGGTGGGGCGCCCGCCTCAGCGGCGGCCTCGGCGGGGGCGTGCG